TTTCTCAAGCATCTTTTAACTAGCTCTTCTTTTCCACAGTCCACTGGACTGTGGAAAATGAAGGCTTGATATCATGTACTGGAATCAGTGCAACGGGGAAGGCTGTTAAAATTTTTCAGTATAAAACTGCAGACCCTTCTCAGTACCCTTAGCCACAGGTACACTCTGCCCTTGCAAAAAGTACATTGATCTGCAAGATAAGTTGCCTTGCCAATGGATCATGCAAGAAGGCTACCTTGGGATACAAATGAGTAATAATCCAAAGGCAATAATTTCCTTTCAAGTCCTAACTGACTGCCATAATAATGCAAATTTCTTGAAACATGTCAGCAGTTTCCGTTTTTGTATTTCTGTCATTTGAATTTGCACTGCACATCTGTTACATGGAAGTAACCCCTTCCTTCTATTCATATAGTGGATGAAATTCTATTTTGAATAACATTGCTGTAATTCTGGATTGGATAAGTTTAAAGAAATGTAATTACTCCAGCTTAGACACTGAAGAACCAGGAAAGAATTTGGATTTATGTTTCAGGAGGGCCTGTGGCTTTGAGATAGCTCTTACCCTGGTTCTGTATTGATACCACATGGGAGTCAAGTTCTGAGTTTTTTTCTCTGATTTGCTACAGCTCTTATATTTTCCTATAGACAGTCATACAGATATATAACGAAGTTTGGAGCCAAATGATTCCTATTGATCTAGGTAGCTTGTCAATATGCAGGATGCTCTGAAACTCATGAAATTATATATCAGCAACTGTGACTACCTTGTCAGACTGCTGTGCCCTTCTATATTTTTCTCTCATCACGTCTTTAAAACACACTTCAAGATATTAAAAGCTAAATTTTCAGCCTAGTTTGGGCCTCTCCATGAACACTCTGTTGTAAGACTCTCTTGCAGAATATTAGTTAGCAGCACTGATAAATGGCCTTTTTTGTTTGAAAGGAGTGCAACATGTTTGGACTGAAAAGCCATTTATCACACTTCCACTCTTTTTTTCTTTCCTGCTGGCAAGGTGCATGTAGCAATTAAGCATTTTACAAGTAAATATACCAGTGTAGTATATGCCAAAGCAAAGATATCTGTCTAGAGCTTTGGCTTGATTTTCTGAAGGCAGTAAAGCGTGCCTCTCCAAATTGTCTTTAAAGAATGTAGTAAAAGGTTTATGATCTGTATCTGCTAGCATGGGTGACTCATAATAAATGTACTCCAAAGGTGTAGTGCCATGTCCAGCACTGATTGCTCCAGAAAATGAGCACTCCTCTTCACTGGAGTCATTCGTAATCATACAACAGCTTGACTTTCTGTCTGGAAAGGCACAGTTTTGTCAAACTGGTTTATACCACTACATCTCTCACAGCATTTTCAGAGACTATGACAGCTGTTGGTTTCATATTTACTCCCACACTTTTCTGCACTTTAAACAAATGCTGTTTCTCATTCCTTACTCTGAATGTTCTAGATACTGTTGAAGCTTTCATTTTTTTGGTTTTTGTTTTGAAACAAGAAAAGCAACCAAAACAGTAATGCATATTATGGACACGTATTATTTTCTTTCTTTATATACAGATTTAACAGCTTTTACTTCTTGTGTGCTTTAAGACCTCCTCCATCTGCTATTCTGCCTCAGAGGTTATACTCGTTTTGCTGGGCCACTCTTCCAATTAGTTTTCCTTCTCTTACCAAGAAGTTGTGACCAAATAGTGATGTTGGCTGTATGTATGGTATACAGATTGCCTCCAGTAGTTTTTAGCAGACAATTCTGCTTGCAAAGAAGCAGAAATGTCAGGATCTTGTGCACCATGGATTATAATTCTGAACCTCGAAGAGGAAAGCTGCAACAGTCTATAGAGCTCCTCAGCCTCAGGAAATGACTCAGGAGAGAGATTATATATGTAAAAACCTGAATGCAGGAAGAAAGTGAATAGAGAGTGAACACAAAAGCTGCATGAAATTATTTGGTAGGATGGTTTAAAGAAAAAAGAAAAATTACACAATGCAGAAGTAAGCTCTGGAACTCATTGGCACATGATGTTGATATCAGAATTGTAAATGAATTCAAAAAGCAATCGCACATATTAATGGAAGAAATATTCTCAGGGACTATTAATAGCCTGAATTTCTAAAGGCAGATAAGAATTCAGCTTGGAGCTATGAGAAGCAGCAGCTAATAATTGCAAGGGCAATTGGCATGTTTGGAAAAGCTTCTCTGCTTCTAGTGCTGTAGAAGGGCAAAGTATTTTTGTACGTGCAGATGTCACTGCTTCTGGGGTGTGCAAGGGGAGAGCTGCCTGTTGAGGTGAACTTACACACACACACACACACATGCACACATACACGCACACGCAAGTGTAACGCATTATGCTTTTTAAGCAATCAAGGGAAATTAATTCCAACTGCTCTCTTTGAAACTCAGTTTGCTACATCTTGGATAAATTCTGCACTCATTTTTAGCTTCTGCAGAATGTTGCAAGTTTTGTCTTACCAAAATGATGCATCTCTGATCTTTTAGTTCTCACATGAGCCTCACACTCATCCTGTTTGATTTAACGCCTCTTATTTCCTGAGAGAGACTTTGCTACGCTACCTTACCTTTACAACCTTGTTTGCCCTCTGAGTTATTTATGGACAGTGAGTGAACCTCCACATAGACTGTGCTGTTAAACCTGCCTAGTATGTGGAAGATTACCGTAAGACTTTGTAATTTCTGTGCAGTTTAAAAAAGCTTCTTATCTCTGCTTGTCTCTGGTTTAACTGCTATCTGTAGCTCCATTAAGGATGTTAAAGTGATATCAGATCTCAGCAGATAATGAAGTGACAGTCCAATTCCTATTATCCTGTTGGTTCTTATGTGTTTGAGTTCTACATATTTTAATTTATTTACAGTGAGCCCCAGGCAACTATTGTATCACAATGTTTGTCTTTGTTGTGGACTGATAAGATCAGTACAAACTCCAGTTACACTATTCCTAATGAGAGAGGATTTCTGTTTTGACACCAAGACTTGTTTCTGAGTAATTTAAGGCAACATAAAAATAAATAATCTGAATATATTAATTCATTATTTTGATTGCAAGGATTAATGTGCTAAATAAGGATCTGAACAGAAAATAAGAGAATGTCAGTGTTGTTGGTTTTTTAATTTAATTTATTTTTTACTATTATTTCTGTAGTTTAAAGTTATTTAGTTTCCTGAAAACTGACTTTTGAGTGAAAGCATTGTGTGTGCCAATTATCCCCAATAACTCGAACAATCTGCCAGCAATACTTCCCTGTCTTTCCCAAAATCTTTCAATTGTGATAAACAGACATGAATGGTACTGAGGATAGGACAAGTTTGGTGACAGCCTTGAAAATTATTATTTAAGCATGTATTTTCTTCACTCAGAAGGTATTCAGTAAGTGCCCGTAGAGTGTGCTCATATTACCAGGGACAGGCTGGAAACAAATCTGTAGGCATATTTGGGTGCAGATGATCAAGAAAAGAACTGGAGATCAAAGAAAGGCCACACTCTGCTGGTGAAAGAAAGTGAAAGGTCCTGCAACTCCAGTAAAGCCATTCCATATTTCACCAGATAAGCACTGTTTTAGTTCTGACCATATCATTTCCATTGGGTTATTCTTCTTTGTTGTCATTAAGGGCTTTTTACGATGTTTCCATTCTCTTTGAAAAATTTTCCTCAGCTTGTATTTCTTCCGTGAGTTACATCACTGTTTCAAGCTTTGCTTGGTATCAGAGGCTCTTTTGCAATCAAGGAGAGTGCTAGCCAGCACTGTACAGACGGTACCACAGACTTGCATCAAACAGTGTAACTCAGTCAACCCCTGCAGTTCGAGCTTTCAGTGTTAATTCAGAAAAGGGAGAACTACTCTGGGTTCTTCTAAATGAAAAAAATAGTATTTTCAACTTATATCATGTCATGACCTGAGGAAAATTGTCCATGTATTTTACAGATTTTATCCTCAACTGTTCTGCTTAATATGCTCTCTCAAATATTTCTGTTACTGGTGACTTTCTTGTTGCTAGCTGGTGTCTTCTGTAGAAGGGGCAGATTATTGTTTAAAAACTGAGTTCGTGTTCTACTTTCATAAATTGTGGGTTGATCCTGAAAAGATCAGACACTATTGTTCTGTAACTACTGTCAATTTTACCAAAGTGACCTTCTGTCTCTGAATAGAATCATTTTATCTTTGCTAAGGAAAATCTATGTTAGATTTTGAATGGAAAACCTGTACAAATTATCTAAAAAAAAAAAAAGGACTTTCTGGTATAGTGATTGAAACTGAACTGTAAGCTACTACAGCTACTCCATAGTCGCAGTAAACTTTTTTGACACTTTAAATTGACAATTACTTACACAGCTAAAAAACATTTATTTGACTGAATATTTATAATATAAATAGATCATAGTTTAAAAAAATAGTTACGAAAATGTGTGTATCAAGCATGAAATTCAAAGGGTGAAACTTATTTTCTGCCATGTTATAGCATTATAATTAATTACACCATAATTGTCTATTCCTATCATCTTACTATCTCTCCATGCTATGCATGCTACTGAATAAATGTAATTGAAATGTCAGACTTCACACAGATTTGTGATATAATGTATATCAGAACTCATTTTATAACTCACTATATCAATCATCAATACAGTAGAAGTACTTATTCAAAAAGAACTCTGCGTCAGCCAAAAGAGATGGATAAGCTTCCTCCTTGTGTTTGAGTCTACACAGCCAATTAAAGAGAAGGGAGGTATGTTTTAGAGATTATTTGTTTACCTAGAGCACCTTCTAATCATCTTATTTTGTGAAGTACTTGTCTCAAATATAAGAATTACGGTGACTGATGATTTGCTTTGTCAAACAGAAGATTTGTGGTTAAATTTCAGAGAAGTGACCCAAAGAATGTTGCTCTTATCTGTCACATCTCTAAAAGTACTCAGTCTGGAGTAAAGATTTACATGTGAAGTCAATGTTTTCTTCTATATAATTTCAGAATTTCTGTGTAGACACCAAGAAGAAATTGTGCTCAAATCAAGATGCTGATGTTTTGGTTAATTGCCAAAATGATTTGGTGCATCATGACAATGAGAAGGATGTGACTGGGAAAGCTACATTAGTGGAAAACCGTGTGATTAAAGGTTAGTTAAGACTTATGATTTGAGTTATATTATAACAAAGCTTAACTCCCGCTTTGATAAATAACTTATATGCAGCATTATCTTGTGTGATTTTGCTTGGAATCTGTGTTTCAGTCAAAAGTGATGAACATTTCTGCTCCTCCTCCATAAATGCCATAAGGCAAATTCATCCAAACTCTTAACAGCAGCATGGTATTAAACTCTGTTTGACACTGAAACATGAATATTCAGTAGTTTTTAGAAACAGACTTGTGTGGAAATATGCACTTTGTTTTTCCTTAGGAATCTATACATCTTCTGTTACTAAAAAAAAATTCCAATAGATATTAAGGATAAGCAAGCCATTTATATTAAACATATGAAGATGTCTTCAACTTTTTTATTTATTTTGAAGAAAAAAATAGCACTGAGCAAATTACTTGGCTAGTAATTGTTTTTAAGGACACCATTTTCTTGGATTTCACAAGTGTATTTGGGAACTGGTTAGGCTTTCTACTTCTCTTTCAACTTTTCAATTTGTCAGAACGTATTGAAGTTGAGAAGCCAGATGATGTGAGGACAAATCCTTAAGACTTTGAAGTAAAAATAAAAAACTCAGTTGATTTCATTAATCTGTCTGTCTTGAGTTATATTTAAAAAATGAACACATGACATTAATTATAACACTGGCACATTTGAAATTTGGAATTTGTAAGACTAAGGCACAAATACTCATCCTCACAGTATTTCTTTACTGATAATTGATATCAGTATAAGAAATTCCCATAAAATTTCCTCTTTACTGTCTTCTCATTCAGTGTGACAATCTCCTAAAAAAGACTGCTTATCTGAAACTATGCAAATGCAACATAAACAACCTTTATATTTAAAAATTACTGTAGTGTATTGAATATTCACTAATCTGTACTGCTGTGGATGGTGATTGTTTGGGAACAGTTTTTCTAACAGTATTTAGGTTTGCAACAGGCTTCTTAGAAAGATAATCTCATATTTGTTATTTGGTGGCTTTGAAAAATCTCCCTGTGGGTTCCATTTTGTTACAACTTAACGATCTGATGATATTTTATAGTGGTAAATGTTGAAGCTTCCAGGCTGGCAGCTTTAGAGAACAGCATTCTCTGTTTAAACCCCAGGACAGCATTGTTACGAAGATGAGTTAACGATACACTCTCTTGTGCCAAGGGAACTATCTGCACATAACTGGGGCTTGACTTTGACAACTGATGTCTGTACTACAGGGAGCAATTGTATCACCACCATGGGTGATCCAGTCCCTGTGGGGTAAGGCAAGTGTGAGCAAGGTGTTCATGGTTAACACGGGACCTTCTATTCTACTCCATTGCAACAAGGAGATTTCCCAGCCCATTTCTAAATCACAGTTAGGGGTACACGTTCTATAAATGTAGTGCTCAGGTGTTCAATATTTTCAATCATAAAGACAAACTTGGACTATTTGTAGCTGTTCCTGTTTTGGAGCTTTTACTTACTGTGATTCAGAAGCACTGCAAAACAAGGCATCACTGCTAAGTGCCATCTGCCCTGAGTAGAGTCTGCCTGCTTTCTCACTCTTTATTCATTCTGAGTTAGTAGAATTACTCTTTTGTCCATCCTACTAAGTCTTATTTGTCCTCGATAAACTTCTAGAATCTCCAGAACTTCACCATTTTTAACTTGATGCAATTCTATTTTTCTTTGCCATTTGAGAGCAAGATGTGAGGAGTGGCTGAGGTTCCTTGGCTTGTTCAGCCCAAAGAAGACGACGAGGGGAGGCCTTGTGGTGGCATACAGCTCCTCAAAGGGAGCTGAGGAGCAGCATTGAGCTCTGCTCTCTGATGACTGTGACAGGACCAAAAAAACAGCATGGAGCTGTGTCAGGTGAGGGTCTGGCTGGGGATTAGGGAAAGGTTCTGCACCAGAGGGCAATGGCCATGGAACGGGCTGCCCAGGCAGTAGTCACAGCTCCAATGCTGGAGTTCAAGGAGCTTTTGGACACCACTCTCAGGCACAGGATTTGAATTTTGGGTGGTCCTGTGTGGAGCCAGGAGTTGGAGCTGATGACACATGCGGGTCCCTTCCAACTGCAGATTCTCTATGACAGGAAAGTTTTCTAGTGACTTTTTTCTAGTTCTATTTTTTTTTTTAACCTTCTTTTCAGTGTTCTCCCATTAAGATCTTTTGTTTTGTTGTCCCTTCTCTGAAATCCGAGTTTTCACATCTTACTCTTAATTTTTTTAGTTCTTCCTAATTCCAGAGGTAATATTTCCTTCAAATTTCAGATATCCGTCAGGCTCTTTTTCTTCTCCTGCCCATTTCCCATCTCAGTTTTTATTCCTATCCATTTCCACAAGACTATGGCTAGAGACACATGCTTTGTAAATAGTTCTAGTTGTATGCCCAAGTAAGTACACTAAAGAAAAAAATTGAAGTCAGAGCTGCTGAAGACTTTGTTGCTCATGGTCCTGTAAAGATTTGCAGTACTAATTTCTTCCACCTTGTCCAGTTCTAAGACGTTTCTGATTTCAAGCCTCATAGATCATATCTCTCTTGCCTTATTCCTCATGAATGCTGCAGTTAATTAAATCTGAGCTCATTGTACATAGACTGTTAGGTGAGACCTAAATTCAGGTAAAGAACACAAGCAGGGCCACCAACCTCTAGATCCGGGGCCTAGGGCCCCATCCAGCCTGGTCTTGAACACCTCCAGGGATGCAGCATCCATAGCCTCTCTGGAGAGTCTGTTCCAGCACCTTACAACGTGCTCTATGAAGAACTTCTCCCTGACATCCAATTTAAATCTTTCTTCTCTGAGCTTAAGATCATTCTCCACTGTCCTATCAAATCCTTAGTAGCTCTGTTTAGCACACACAGAAAATCAAGAGACAATATCATGAAGCTTTTTCTGCAAGACTACAAAACCTCTTCTTGTTTAACTGCCTTGGAGTATATCCCTGAATAATTTTTGCCTAGCTTTGAGTATACTGTGAGTTAAAAGTTGGAGACAGGTAAATTTAATTACATAGAAAAAAGAGTGATGATAGATGGTACACTGGCACACCCAGATCAAAGCTAAAGGTTTTTCTCAAACCTGTGTGTTAGTGAAGCCCAAATTATTGAGCTTAATTCAAAGTTAACTGCAAAATTATACAAGAGATTTGATTAGAAGATAAAGCAGTTCTTCCTGGCCAGTCAAGGGATACCCAGGAGTCCACTGCTGCATGCAGCAAGCTTGCCTGTTCCAGAGTGTATTCTGCTCTGTTAATTCAGAGGATAATGGATTAGAAAATATGTCAAGACTAACAACACAGACACACTCCTGTGGGTTTTGAGTGGGAGGAAATGTACCATTCACTGACTAATCTTTAAACTTCTACTTGTGAATGTTAAGCCAACCTCCAAAGCACCAACCCATTTCAAATTCCTAATACGGATATTGAATCCATGCTGTCTCTCTCTCTCAGAAAAAAAAAAAAATTAAAAAAAAAAAAACAGTTACAGACAAAACTGCCATTTCTTATCAAAAGCTAGGTAGTTCTGAAAACAAAGGCAACATGGTTCTCCTTCAGTGTTAACACCACTATTGTTTCCTTGCAGAGTTCATATTAATAAAGGTAGTATTTATTATGTTTGTTTCTAAGAAATTCATCCTTATTCTACTGTTTCAACAAAACCTGATTTGGCCTCTAAAGATATAATCTTATTTTCTTAGATTTGGCTGAATTTGAATTCCTTAAAAATAGTAGTAATTCTGCAAAGTTGTAACTCTTCATCTGAAACTTGCTATATTGGTTTGTTTTACTTTAATTTTGAAATTTCTTCTGACTGGAATTTCTGAAACATTATCTAATGCTGTTTTGTTTTAGGGTTTTTTTGTTTTGTTTTGTTTTTTTTTAATTGTTTTCTGGACACTTTAGAAAAGATATTTGAAGGTGGTGTGCAGAACAGCAGATGGGATTGGCTAGGGGGCGTGATGCCACACAGGCCTCTATACTTCTCTATGCCCTCCTGCAATGATGTATGATGGGACCTGGAATATGCAACTCCTTAAAGTCTGACAAATGTTTTCTGTGAGAGTTATTGATATATGAAGTGTTTGATTTGTAATTAAAAAAATATTTATCAACAGTAGTGAAACAGCAGAAAGTAATGACTGTAAGGATTGAATAAAACCAGCAAAATAGACTAGAAAAAAGTGGTAAAGAAGAAAAGTTAGAAATAAAAGAACAGTGAAATAAGTCAGCAGTTGTTTGTATCTTTCAGGAAATTCATATATATTTTTTTAAATTAAATTTAAGATTAAACTGTTCCAAACAATGTGCTAGTACATTCCCTACAGAGATAAATGTTAACCGTACATGAATTTTAACCCTACAGTACATATGAAATATTTTGATTGTTACTTTTAACAGTTTTTAAAGACATTATAAACCATCACTAAAAGGAATGATTGATGGATATCAGCCCAGGGAATAGTCCATTCATTTCATTGGCTCTTATTCTGCTCATTGGCTTCCAGTAGCACTCCCTAAGGAATTAACTCTCACTAGGATTGAGGAGAATCAGAACCAGGCTCACAACAAATAAAACACTACTGTTAATAAAAACACTTTGACTAATGCATACACTCTTCTGTTCTGTGCCTTTTCACTGAAGTGATGCTCAGACACAAGGATGTTATTCTACCTTGTTTGGTTCACAATATTATTGTGCATAATAATTCACAACTACTGTTTTCAAGTTAGTCATATCAAATGCTAAATGTGATTAATGTGGCTGAATGTTAGTTTATGCAGCATAAATCCTGAACTGAGATATTTACCACAGCTATAAAACTCTATTATGATCATGGCCAGGAGTAGTTACTTGTGCAACCTTTTATATACATGAACTGGGGTTTCTAGCACTGGTTGCCTTCCAGCAGTGATGATGATGGGTTACTTTTGTGCCTGCATTTTGGATGAGTGCAGAATTGAGAGTTACAGCAACTGTTAGTGACCTTGTAGTCTGTGAAAGAAAAGCTAGCATATTCAAAAAAAAAAAATCCTACCCACTTGAGGATGTGAGTGAGACAAATGGAAATTTTTAGTCTTCAGAACATTCTCTTTCCACTATAAAGGCAAACATAATTATACAAATTGTTCCAGGAAGAGCGGAGTTAATGAAATTTGGTTTAATAAGGATTCAGATCTGTTGTCCCCTGCTGCCTTTCCCTCCTTCCCTGATAATAACCAAAACTCTCCTTATGGTACTCCTATTATATGAAAAAGAGCAGGTTTGGAGCTATGTGTGTGTTGAGTGGCCAACCAATACACACATGCTGATTTATCCTTCTGTTTGCTGCCAAATAGAGAGTGTAACAGCTGTGTTCTGCATGCCTTTCTTTCAACAGAGGAACTAATTCAACTTTCTCTTTTATAACCACACTATGACTTCTTCCACCTTTTCAAATTTGACTGAAATTGGCAAGGAAAAACTTTAAAAAGTACTGTAGAGGTTGGTGGATGGGTGGATAGACAGCATGATGACACAAGCCTTGTTTTCTTAGCAGTGTAAGATGGTATATCTGATTCAGTAATTCAGTGTTGAGGCTAATGGATTTTTTTCAAGTAGGAAAAAAATTGCATTGATTTCACTGTTCAAAATACCCTTGGGATCATTCAGCTTGTCCCATTCATTGCTTAATGCTTTACTGAAGTGTAAATATATATATTTCAGAAGGCATCCTACATTTGTTTTAGACTGGAGACAACTGTGATTTACTCTAGCCTGATGACATTAATTTCCTTTTCTCCTTGAGTTGTCTTGCTTAGAAGCATATCATTTTGTTTTTCTGTGTTTGGGAAAGAATAAAGTCTAACTATGCCATCCATGTGCAACCTGTACTTTATATTTGTATTAGCAAGTCTAACTGCACAAACAGTATTTTCCTTGCTGAATCACAAGGATTAGCTTATTCGTTCAGTGCACATTTTATTCATTAATTTACTGATGACAAACACAGCCAACTTGGAAATGAACCACAGACCTGGAAATGTTTGTTAAGAAGATAGTGGCTACTTGTGTGAATGCTGTGAGTGAGATCTCCGTTGAATTTCTAATCATAGGGTGGATTTCTTTCCCTTCTGATGTCTAGATCTGGAAATATATTGCTAGTTTAGTCATTCCTGTAAAGAAGCTGGGGTACTTGAAGACAAATCTGTCCATGATAAGTTGTGTCCTGGTTCAGATAGAAAGCTCCTTGATGAATGTGATGGTTATTCCTGGCCTTAAAATTTCTATAAAGGAGTGAATCAGAACTTCAGAAAAAAATGAGTCCTGTCCATTTCTCAGGAAGTGGCACCTCAGCCGTGGAGAGTCTTAGAACAAATTGATAACAACTATACATCTGGTTTCTTGGAAAAGGGACAGTAGTCCCAAGAATAAGCTTGGGAGAATTTTTGTTTGAGAAGCTCAGTGCCATAAGGAAGGATGTATTCGATAAGCATGGCCTTGCAAAGAGATCAAATAGGCTGTGAGGGTTTGTACATATTTGCAAGTTGTTTCTGGTTACGTTGTAGTAAATTAACCAAACAGAAACAGCTGTTCCCAAAGCAGTATTTCACATTGTTTTACCATTTCATATGAGATCTGCTTTTGAAACACAATGCCCTCTCAGTTCCATTAAACGTGGGGCACTGTGACAAACCTGAGCTGTTCCTGTCTTGCTGCGGTACATCTCTTTCCGACTCCTGCTGTTCCTGTCTTGCTGCTGTACATTTCTTTCCCACTCTTGCAAGTGCCAAAAAACATGGTGTCTCCAGAGGGAAAATGTGGGGCACTATTCCTTGAAGGGGGGCAATAAGCATACATGAGCAAGGCAGGAGACCACAGGGCCTTTTGGCAGCAGGCGATGGCTCACACATGAGAAGAGTAACATCAAGCTCTTCCCATGCAAGGAATTAGAGCAGAGCCCACCCCACTCTGGAGCTGCTAAGAGGCCTCATGTGAGGGTCTTTGCTCTAGTGGGAAAAGGCCACCACTTTTTGAAAGGTCAGTATGGCTGAAGGTTGATCTACGTGGACACAAAAAAATGAACTTCAAGGCTTTTCACTTAAACTTAATATCATTCTCAAGCTTTCATCTCTATTTATTGTATTACATTCTGAATAAGAGAAAGCTGGGGATTTTGGCTTCAGGAAGTCCTGAAAAGCTATTTTCCTAGCTACATATTCATATTTTCAGGCAAAGAACATAGGAGCAAATCTGCAACAGGGATTGTAGGTATTGCATGATGCACATGGATTGCTCATCTCTTAACAGTTTTATTAAATATTTGAATGGTCTGTGGACAACTGTCAGGGAGTAGACAACAGATTAAGTAATGTTTAGATGTTATACTGAGGATCATAGTTTAGCGGGAAATACTGTTGGTAGGTAGATGGTTGGACTAGATGATCTTGGAGGCCTTTTCCAACATTGGTGATTCAATGATTCTTTGACTATCTGGTTCATCCATAGACTGCGAGGTACAACCATTGCTCAAAAACTGAGAGAGGAATTCTTAAAAAATGAAGACCATTTTATACAACGCTCAGCTGGATTTCATTCTTGATCTGCTACAAATGTTGTTCAGGAATGTGTGCAAGTGACGTAAGATGTCTGTGAATATCAGAAAAGATAAGAGAACATTTTTTCCTTTGTTTTTGACTTTTGTGGTTGTCTGTATGAATTGTACATTTTTTTCTGGGCAAGTGCAGAGCCTTGAGTTTCCTTACAATTACAATTTGTTGATTTCTCAGGTCTAACAAATAAGCCACTTGGAAAGTGTGAAGCTGAAAAGGAACAGAAAGAAGAGCACGACTATGAATATGTGGATGAAAACATAGTTGAATACATAAGGAAAGCATTTGAAGGTGGCACATTCTGCCAGTTGTATTCTGGGCTGCATCAGAAGAAGCATGGTCAGCAGGATGAGGGAGGTGATCCTGCCTCTCTGCTCTGCTCTGATGAGACCTCGCCTGGAGTACTGCATCCAGATGTGGAATCCTCAGTACAGAAGAGACACAGATCGGTTGGAGTGCATCCAGAGGAGGGCCACAAAAATGATCCAAGGGATGGAACAACTCTCCTACGAGGACAGGCTGAGAGAGCTGGGGCTGTTCGGCCAGGAGAAGAAAAGGCTCTGAAAAGACCTGAAAATAGCCTTTCAGGATCAAAAGGGGGGCTGTAAAAAAGAAGGGGTCAGACTCTTTAGCAGGGTCTGTTGTTATAGGACAAGGGGAAATGGTTTCAAACTAAAAGAGGGGATATTTATACTGAATATAAGTTAAAAATTATATATGCAGTAAGGTAATAACACACTGAAACAGGTTGCCCAGGGATGTGGTGGATGCTCTGTCCCTTAAGCCAGATTGGACTGGGCTGTGAGCACCCTGATCTTGCTGTAGGTGTCCCTGTACTTTGCAGGGGGATCTTTAAATGTCACTTCCAAGTCAAATGATTCTACAATTCCAAATAAGGATAGCCTCTGAAGAAAGAGTGTGGTTGTATTCTATCATCACATTGATGAAAACAAACGCTGTCAAAGTGATTTTCATGTTTTCCAGTAACAGCTATCCTTCAAAATGAGAAAAAGTTTTCCCTGGGAACTACCATCATTGATAGTCTCATATGTTCTGTGAAGAAAGTGGGAAAAGCACACCTGAATTAGACACAACTACTTGTGACCCACTGTTGCTCTTAGCGATGCCATCTTTGTCAAAGTGGTACCTCTAGTTGTTCTGGTAATGTAAGTGCATAGGTGGAGCTAAAACCTTAATTAGACCAACAAAGCAAAAATACAAAGCTTTTCTCTCTGTGTTTTCATGTATATGAAAGCTTGTCTAATTTTTCTGACTTGTACTAGTTTGGTGTAACTGCAATCTTTGTCCCCTTTTCAGAAGTGCGCACCTTCCAGCCAATAATTAAGATCTGCCTCTTAAAAAGCTTTGAGAAAATTATTTGTGTTTCTACTAATTTATTGTATTTCTGCTTTGGCAGCCTTTGGAAGACTTAAAGCACCAGTGAAAAGGACCTTTGCTTCTAAAAACTTTAAGTATCATTTCCAACCAAACACAGATCAAATTAGTTTGTGGTCTCTCCAATCCCTATAAGTCCAACAGTTCAAACCAGAGAACCAAAAGCACTCGTAACTGTTGTCCCCCATAAACAGGAAGAAAAAAAATGTACAAAAGCCAGAACATTTAACAAAGACAGAAGCTCACAAGATAAGACGAAGGTGGAGAAGGGCCATTACTAAAATGGGAGGAGAACAAAGAGAAAGTGTTCATTAACTTAAGTGAACCATGAGATGTGCGAAAAGATTACAGCTGTTGGCCAGCTGAGCACCATATGGAATGGTGGAAGCAACAGCCGTGTGGATAGAAACAAGCTCCATGCATATTGCTACAGCCCTAAGTACTATCTTGGGCCCTGAAAAGCAAGCCTTCTGGAGACACTGAAGAGTGTCAGACAACAGAACTCATTTCTGAAACAACCTCATAATCACCTGGGCAAAAAAACACAACACTGAGTCGGTATATCACATCCCCTAACACACACAGCATCTGGAAAAATCAGATGATACACTGGCCTATTAGAGACTACCTTAGGAGCGAGCCATGGATGCATTTGATTCAAACACTACAGCACATATTTAGCAAAAGCCATCTGGTTAGTCAACACTTGGGGATCTGCCAGCCAGGCTGGTACTGTCCAATGAAACATTACGTGTACCAGAGAAAAAGGGTGAAGACCCAGTGGTGCAAGTAAAGAACATGCTAAGCAACACAGACTGGATTATTCCTGCCTTAAGCAAAGACAAGCCTATCTGTGGGATCGCTTTTCCTAAAGGACCTGCAGGCAAGTGCTGGGTAAAGCAGAATGGCTGGTGTCTGTTGTGTACCTCAAAGGGAGCGGACGCTGTGTAAGAATTAACAGTTGCTACACAATACTGTGTGCCATCATCGCTACAGTTGTTACAGACCTTGATACACTATTACAACAAGAACCACCCCAACTAAAGAGGAATGAATTCTGCTGAAATCAGAACTAGTTTGGCAAGCAGTAATCCGACAATGGAGTCTCTCGCTTGTACTGAAGGACTGCTATAAAAGACAGAGCCCAAAATCATGAACTAAGTGAACATCATGGACAGACCATTTACACGGATGGACCACAGGATGTGGAAATTAGAAGTGTGTAAACATCAAGAAAGACAGGAAATTGTAAATAGCTAGGATATATAAGATTAAGACAAGACCACAGCATAAAATGAATGGGACAGGACAAGGGGTGGAGACTGCCTTAATTTCAGCAGGGACAGAGTACCGTTTCCTCAACACGGATGGTACATAGCTGTTCTGGAGAAAGACAATACTGATACCACTCCAATGCTTTCAGTTGTTATGGAGCAGCTCTGAACAGAGTGAACAATGTTTGTTTTCTTGGTTTCTCCGAGCACACAGGAAAAGGGTCTGGAACAGCACAGGGAGCTGGGACAGAAACAGGAGAGCTGACCTAAACCAGGCCAAGCCAATATTCCAAACCCTATGCCATGATACTTAAGGAAACACTGGAAAGAAATCACAACACCCCAAAGAAAGGCCACCAAAAACCTCAGCACAGAAAAAAGATGTTCCTTACGGGTGAAAGAAAGAAACAAAAGCCGGGCTGGCAATTCAACAAGAACTCTTATGCTAACAAAAGCATAATATAACACCAAAATTCAGTGCAGGCAAGAGATCAGAAACAAAAAGCATTGCAACAAAAACAGGCTAATTTTATTCTCAAAAAATAAAAGAGGCAACATAGAGCAAACAAGAGCAATACACACGTTTCTACTGCGGTATAAAAACACAAGGTAATTCCACAAGATAGACAACAAAAAGAATCCGCATGCGTGCTCCGGCCTCCCGCACCCCCACGCCGCTTCTTCTTCTTTCATCTGCAGCCGCTCCTGAAACATCAGCAGGGACACCGTCAGACCGGCCGAGTGGCAAGCCCCCAACCCTCCCCCCCCACCCGAAGGAAAAGGGAAACCCAACATCGCAAAGGAACTCGGCACACCACCACCCAGCCAAGGAAGG